AAAGGCACAGACACAAAAGGTTATTTACAGTTGGTTCAAGCCAAGGAGGCCATTGTCCAAAACCCCAAGATTTCCTTATAAAAATGCTGTCTGCCTTGGAAGGACTGGGACTGGGCCCGGGCCCGGCCAGACCTACCAGGTTGTGGATCCTGGCACTGTTTGCTTTATTAGACCTCTAGAGATGGAATTGTGCATACCAGGTCTTCTGGTCAAAAAAAGACCGACAGCTAATTCAAATGCTTTAAGACTGCTAATTGGTCAGACTCCCCAACCCAGTCTAGTCACCACAGTTCATGCCCACATCCTCTGACAAAGGCAACAGTTATAGTGCCTTGCTGCAAAGGCTGCTACAGAAAGGCATTTTCTGTTCAACTGGTGAGGCCATTTCTTTGAAAAATGAAACATCCCAATCATTTACAGAGTAAGATCCACATGCATCAACATGGTTATCACCAGCTTCACTAATGTGACAGTAACCACAGTGCTTTTCTTCTATACATCTCAAAGCATTCTACAAAAGAGAACCATCCTTCCCACATTTGACACAGGGGGAAATAAGTCAAAGGAGGAAAGTGATATTTGCCCAAAGTCACACAGGTGGTCTGCGGCAGCGCTAGGAACAGAACCCAGGTCTTTCTGATTCCTGTTCACTGGACCACACTGCCTACCCAAAAAGGCTTTTGCAGTTACCTTTTCTTTACTTTATCCTAAGTTAAGTACTGTGCCATGGTGTTGTTAAACACTAGATAGATGTTTCAACCCAGGTGGCTGTATTTCCAAGGTGGATGAACTGATTTCTGTCCAGTTTATAACGTGTCTTAGGTCTCTTTTGGATAAAACCATTAAATATCATTTGGCAACCAATTTGCCTGCATGCAACAGGAGGCTCTTCCAAGCATATGAACTCAGACATGCGCAGAGTGAGACCTGAAACTGTTCTCCCTTCCTCCCCTCTCGGCTGTAGAACAGATGCATCATCTAACACGCTCCTGAAGCTGGGCTGACAGCACCTCTACCTAGCACCAAACGGTCCCCTCTCCTTCTGAAACATGAACATAGTTTATTCTCTCATAAAATTCATAGTGTGCTGTGACTGGTGTGTGCTGATCTCACAGCTGCTAAATATTCATGAACCAATTACGAAAAACAAATCTATCACTTTAGCCCTCAGCCAAGTTTTGAAGGATTCAAATATTTATGCTAACGAGAGGCTCTACCTCGTATAATTCTTCTCACCCAACTTTATTCCCGTTCACATGAGGGATCAAGCCGGCTTCACTCCTCTCTCCCACCCGATGCTGCATTGCTGTTTGCTTTTGACCTGTTCGCCTACGTCTGACTCATAAGGAGTTTATATCAGATAATGACAGCAGAGTGGGAGTGTGTGTGTGTTCATGTTCACATTAAACTGCCAGAGAGTCAGGAGACTGAAAGGAGACAGATACTTACAGATTCTTTTGCAGCACTGAGCACAAAGTAACATTGTCATATTATTTGGACCAGGGCTACAGAGTGGGGGAATCAGAATATCAGGGTTGGAAGGGTCCTCAGGAGGTCATCTAATCCAACCCCCTTCTCAAAGCAGGGCCAATCCCCAATTTTTGCCCCGGATCCTTAAAAGGCCCCCTCAAGGATTGAGCTCACAACCCTGGGTTGAGCAGGCCAATGCTCAAACCACTGAACTATCCCTCCCCCACACTGCAAGTCAGCAACAGGGAGATCTTTGCCGAGTGAATCACTGCTTCCCCATCCCACCCTCTTGCTGAGATGGGCACCACCTTCCACTTCCAATCAAAGGGGATTCAGCTATCTGGGGAAGGAGCTCACAGAAAGTGATGAGCCTGTAAACGGATCAGACCTTCCAAGGCAAAATTTACCTTCTTTCACCACCATCTATGGACTTATTTGGCACCATCACAGGTAGCCCAAAAGCAACACAGGCTTAGCTCTTCTCTGCCCCCAGCTTTGCTGTCCCATCTGCCTCAAGAGGTCACTCCTGAAACACTTGATTCCAAGAGGAGGCATGCCCACTTTTAGTAAAGCCACTGGGTGAGACTGATTTTAATGTTTGTACTGCATAGTGCAACACAGACAGGGACTATCTTCCCCAGGAGCTATCTGCATAAATATTAACATTAGTGAAATAACATGTGTAAATCTGCCATGCACCGATGGGAGATTACCCCACTGCCAATACTCTCACTGCAAACAGTCAAAGGCAGAAGAGATTCAGGCTCAGTGAGGTTTTACATTAACCAGACACTCATTCAGAGGCTAAGTCACATCCTAATTCAGAAGCAGCTGCATTAACCCATCCAGGGCATGAGTAAACTTTTGAGAGAAAACTGAAGAGTTCTTTAGTCTCATCACTATGGTTCTAACTGCCATCAGACCAGTCTCTTTACTGCCCATTTAAGTTGTCACAACACAAAGTTCCCGCGGTTGTTTCCTTCTCTTGCGGGTGTGAATTTTGAAGCTGGTGAAAAGGGAGTGGTTAGACATTTCTCATCTGAAGGGATAATACAATACAAAACATTTTAAAATTGCAAATGAGCATATAGGCCTTAGCCCAAGCATGTGGGGCATGCAATGAGCACTTTTCACTGCACAGCTGCCCTCCACACCTGCCCCTATAACACGCTACAGTGACTGGTGCCTCTCCTAAGCAGAAACTCAGCAGATCCGGGTGGCCTAACCCCCACCTGATGAACTAACTACCAGTATTTAGCTCTTCTGTAGTCCTTTTCCTCATATCTCAAAGCACCTTCCAAAGGAGGTCAGCATCATTATCCCCATTTTACAGATTGGAAAAAACAAACAGAGCAAAGCGACTGGGCCAAAGTCAGCAGCAGAGCTGGGAATAGAATCCAGGTCTCCTGCACCCTAGATCAGTGCTCTATCCACTAAGCCACATTGTCTTATTACAAATGATGATTCTGAGGCAGGTATGATGTCCCAGGAATCTGGAGATGAAGATTTATTAGGCCAACTACTCAATCCCCTTCCAATGCATAATTTGAGCACCACAAGCTTTCAAACACCTGCAAATGCCCAGCACAGTCATGACTCTGAAGGAGATCATGGGAAAACCACCCACATCGGGATACAGGAAAGCACTGATGCCTCATGAGGGTTAAAAAGAAAATCAAAGACGACAATAAGATACTTAAATCCTACAGATGATCAGGGGACAACAGCTGTGGGGAAAAGATAATGGGCCCCTGAACTTCATTGGGCCCTCTAGATGCTGCTGCAATACAAAAAATAAAAACCCCTCCATCCCAACACATCCCTTAAAAAAAGATTCAAAAAGTACAGTTTTGAAAATACAGTTTTCAATTAGAGCAGTTTGATTTTAGATTAAGGGTAGGAATCCTTTACATTCATTGCCCCTAGCCTCTTCTCCCCAATTCTCGTCTTAGTCTGAACCATTACCAGCATGTGTCTGCATGACACTCTGGACTTTTCTGTAGGTTAAAGTGTCTCTGTTCCGTCCAGTGTTAACATGGCAACTGGTCCTGCAATCTATCTGCAAGGAAGCAGGGAGATAGATTTTCAAGCTTGCTCACCTGACTATACAAAGCAGGGAAGCTCTAACAAGGATTACGCTCTTGCTACAGGTCCAACCACCATAACAACATAAACCTAAAGAGGGCAGAGAGCTGAGCTTTCCCTTACGGAGTTTAGGGCTCCTCTGGAAACAGCCATCAGGGCAGGGGGGAGGCATTCAAATGAAGTGTGACAGCAGCACAGCAAAATAACTGAGTCCCAACAGATCAATCTTCTGCTAAAGAATCAGTCCCTTACAGCCTTGGCATTATTGACCCAGCTCATCAATAACTGCACGGACACTGTGACCAAGACAGCTGTGGAAGAACACTGGGGGTGAACGTCTCCTGGAAGCAAGATGGGGAGTGTGCTTCAACAAAAGGAGGAGGCCCACAGACACTTGCCCAGTTGCCTTGGAGGATTTTTGTTTAGCAGCATTTTCTCAGTACAGCCCTTCTCCCTGAGGTAAGTTTCACCCATGTAACCAATAAAAGTTAACCCTTACGTTGGACTGTACAGAGGCTGAGCCCCAATCAACACACACACAATCTGAGCAAGGGGTATGGTCACGGATATTGTCACTGGAACACCACGAACATGTCCCATTGAGTATGGGATTCCCTTTTGCCAGCCGTTTACAGGCCTGGCACGCATGCAGCCTTCATGAACCTGATTCTCTCCTAGGGAGGGTTTCCCTTTCAGTGCACAAGGAGTGGCTGATCTGGGCTCATCTTTTACATAGTTCTGTTGCTCTACCAGTATGGAATCATCTCCAAAGAATTTTTCAGTAATGCTGCAATGCTGAATTTCAGAGGGACACAATCCCAGCTGAATGGTTCACGAAGGCCAACTTCCTAAGCATGAAATAAGGGTCCCTCCCTTTTGCACTACACTAAAGTGACTTCTAACCCGCCTCTGAACTAACCACTTAAAGACATAAGTTAGATAGATCTAATAAACGGGAAAAAGTCTTCCAATTAGTGCCTGCCTCCCACCCCATGAACCCAGCACACCCTCCTCACACACCGTAGACAATGGTGACCTACAAAGGGAACCCACCCTCCCTGCTTTTGGGCTGGGATACTCCAAAGGGAAGGACTAGCGAAGGAGACACTAACACGACAACTCTCCTTTTTGCAAACACAAAACCCGTTCCAAAGCACAGCGATGGACACGCCCAGAGAAGCGAAGCCCAGGATATGAACGTTTCCAAATGTTTAAGAACGCCTGCTCTGATTATGCCTATCTCCTGGTATTTAACCACTGAAAGGCTTATTGTAATTAAACAGGCAAATAATGAAAGAAGCTGGGGTAAACACAAAGGAAGGTGAATAACGCTTCAAGCCCCACAACTTACTCTCTCCCTGCAAGAGACTGAGTACGGTGCAACTCACACAGCACACAAGCTCACTCCCGGCATTAAGGCATTAGTAAGCCAAGGTCAATCTTACCTCATCCCACTCCGAAGCAAAAGATGGAGATTTCTCCAGCCTTTTCTTCCCAGTGCTGCAGTTTGAGAGCGATTCGCTCCGGCTCCCCATGGCATCATCCTCAGTCGGTGAGCAGGTCAGGAGATCGGAGTCCGATTTGGACAAGCTACGGCTGAGTTTGAGCTCTGCTTTGGGCTTGCCTCCTAGGTGAGCTCGGCCCCCAGCACCGCCTCTGTCTCCCTCTTCCTCTGCACCACCAGGGTGCTGCAGCACTTGGGGAGTCACTGCAGTTTCAGGTTCTGCCTGCTGGATGTTTTTGGGCTGGACCGTTGCGTAGATCGCTTTCTGGTTTTGCTCAGGAGAACTGGTCCGTACTGATCCAGAGACAGGTAAATCAGCATCCTCCAACTGCATAGCAGGTGAGTGGCCTGTGCCCTCTGTACCTCCTTTGGCCACAGAAGAAATGAGCCTGAAAGGGTCCTCGTTTATCTCACACACCGGGGAAGAGCCATGGAGTAACCCTGAAAACTGCTCCGGGACCTGGATGTCCTGGCTGTCTGCAGAATCTTGGCTCCGGCTGCCACTGCTCCTCTTGTGGTCTTCAGGGGGATGGAGACAGAAATAAAGAGAGATTAAAAAACACGAAAGGAGAAGCAAAACTCCACCTCCCCTAGAGAGAGAGGGAGCGATAGAGAACAGTTCAGTATTGTTTGAGTGCTCAACTTGTACCCACGGCATTTATGAAATTCCAAATACTGCCCTGATTTATGCAATCTGGCAGCTCTCCTTGTTGTTTTATTCCCGTTAACACTAACAATCAGGCCTTCCTATATAAGGCCAGGAGAAGTGCTAACCCTAGCCTGCAGAGAGAGGTGGGGGGAGAGAAAGAAAGACAGACAGACACTCCTGGAACATCTGATACATTTCCATAAAGGCCAAAGTGTTATTTAGAGCAGCACCTCCCTACTCTTGGCTCAGACTGCGGGGTGGGAAAATTGCTGGGCGGCAATTAACCTGCAAAGTTCCAAAATCCCTTCCCCAAAAGAGCAGATTTCTTCTCTGGTAGCTTCAGGGCTCAACTTCTCCTCCTCACTTGGGGGGGGGGTGTGGGGGTGGGTGGGTTGGGGGAGAGAAGAGGGCTTAAACTGGTAACATCTCACTCCAGAAAATCTCTCCTGTTAAGTAACCACTAAACACAAGATGGTCTGATCTATTAATGCAGCAAGCTGCTTGCAGTACTGAGTGTCCCAGAAATCTGACACGATTCCTCTGTTACTAACTTTCTAACATCCTTAATATCAAATACCAGTGCCCTGGAATAATCATGAACTACTGACTGAACCCAACTGCCAACTGGCACACAGAAGCTGAGCGGCCCTCACCTTATTCATATGGCACATGTGTATTCTAATTGTACAGGATTTTAAAATGCTTGGAGGGAACTGCCACTTTCTCATGAACTGCCTGGGATTATACTCTTGTCAATGACTGCTAATACACACACATATTGTAACCACTTGAATTTAGTGCTGGGGAAATGTGCTTCCCTCAAGACTGAAGTCTTCAACCCAGCAGATAATTACAGCAGAGGTAGCACCAGTGCAAAATGCCCTGATAATGTGATTTGTCCAACTCTGAAGTGTAGGGAGAATGTCTAGAGGGGACAGGGAAGGTCCATTTCCAAGGCCCATCCAGTCCTTGTCCACTTGTTTGAGACACCCAGCTCTCCGAGATCACAACAGGGAGGACCAGTCTCAATCAACAGGGCCAAATGTTCTAGTGAATTTCATGACTAAAAACCAGTCAACTATGGATTGGAATGAACAGACTTTCACACGGGCTTCCTTTTTAGCAACAGGGTTAATTTACTCATTTTCAAATACTAGTTGCATTTATACGATCCAAGAACATGTCCTTTTCCTGAAAGCTAAAAGCAAGCACTGGATTAGCAGTTTACCCATGGAAGCTACTTTAGATATGGGACAAAATTAACATGAGTTTGATCACAGAGAACGTGGGTGATGTAATATCTTTTGTTGGTTGAACTTCTGTTGGTGGAAGGGACATGTTTTTGAGTTTCCCAGAGCTCTTCTTCAGGTCTGGAGAAAGTAACCAGAGTGTCTCTGCTAAATACAAGCATAAAGGATCTGTCCCACCTTGTATTTGGCTCAGACACTCTGGTTACTTTCTCTAGACCTGACGAAGAGCTCTGGGGAACTCCAAAGCTTGTCCCTTTCACCAACTGAAGATGGTTCAATAGAAAGTATTACCTTACTTACCCTGTGTCTCTAACATCCCGGGACCAACACGGCCACAGCAACACTGCAAACGTGAGTTTGATTAGTTTTATTTAGTCCCTTATACATTTGTTTGTTCCACAGAAATACAAGAGACAACTTATACAACTGGCAGCTTCTGCCTGGGAACAGAACAGCAGCACAAGTCGGAATTGAGGTTAGCCAGTAGGGCAGCCCACTGAAGGAGCTCACACTTCTTACCCTCTTATGACCATTTCAGGTATGGCACCCCAAAAAACAGAAAATTAAGTCGGTTAAAAATTCTAAGGAAGTGAGATAACTGGAAATTACCATTGATGCATGTAAATGCAGTGTAAAGTTTGCAAATGAAATTGCTAATAGGATAGAAGAGGAAACATCTCTCCAGTTACAATCTCTCTAAGGTCCTGCCTACACTATATCTTACCCTGCTAGGGCTGTCCCAACACTTAACCATGCTAGAGTATTGCAGGACCAGACTGTGTTCAGTATATCCCTGAGCAAGGATACAAGGCTGTAACAAACCAGGAATACATTAGGACAGTTCCAGCCATACACACAGCAAGGTCGAACCCTGTTTTAATCATAACAAATCATTTACTCTATGGTAACCAGTTCCACCACAAGGGAAATTACTGCATAGACTGGACAGTAAGTCTTGATGGCCTCAGCAGCCTTTTTCTTCTCATTCCTTCTCTACTCCTAACTCCTCATTTCGTCAACGCCCCAGTTTAACATTTAATGGTATTTCTGTCCGAAGGCAGAAAGGCGGCTGGCAATAGCTTCTGCCGCATGCTAGAACACTTGGGCCCACACAGAGCAGACTGGCCAATCTCCACTCACAAAGACTAACAAAGGGGCCTCTGTTAGAAGGGAAAGCACAGCCACCCATTCAGCCTCTTCAAATGAAGCGCCAACCCCAAGACCAGGACAGAAATACCCCAGGGAGGAAGGTGGCAAAGTGGGGGTAGTGACACTCGCAGAGAAGAGTGGATAAGCAGAGATGAAAGCCTTGAGGGAGAGAACATTTCAGAGCACTGAACTTACAAACCTGTACTAAAAATCTCACAGATAAGCATAGAAGCAGGGTTGCTGTTGGGGCTAAATGCACAACAAGAGCAAGGTCCTTACCTGTTGAGGTCTCAATCATGCGTGATTCGGGGTTTGGATATTGCTCAGAATGGCTATAAGAGAGGTCAGAAGAACCTTGGCGATTCAACGGCCGTTGACTATCTTGGGAAGACGTGCCTTTTTGGGGTTTGGCCTGCAAATACACCTTAGATTATTCCAGTCTTACAGCCAGTATGGTCATCTTCACTGCAATGGTAAAAACATGCCAACCATTGCTCCCACTCTGCTGAATGGGTAGCAAAGCAGGACATCTGGGGAAACTAATTAGAACACGGGGAGATTTTCAGAGCCACAGAGGACAACGTGGTGGGAACTGGGTGCCTAACTCATCTGTGCCAATGAAAATGTCCCCTGTAGTTTATACTCAAGGTTTAATTCTGAAAATAACCTAGTAACATGCATTTTGTCCATAGAGACTTTCAGTTATAACTGCGAGAAGCTGGGACTGGATGACAGGGAATGGATGACTTAACACTGCCCTCTTCTGTTCATTCCCTACGAAGCATCTGGCACTGGCCAGCATCAAAAGACAGAATACAGCGCCAGAACGGTCATTCTTATATTCTCAACTCATTTAGTAACAATTATAAATACACACACACACAAAGACACCTGCACTTGCCCTTGTACTCAATCTTCATTGAAGGTTTCACACATAACAGGAGTTGACTAACACCTAACGAAGCATGTAAGCCCCTTTGGGCAGAGGCCGCCTCGTTTGAACATTAAACATACAATTAAAACCATTTAAAATCAAAATACAGACATGGTGCAGATGAAGATACTCAGTCCTGGTATAGAACCGAACAACTGAATTTAAGTAAGCTCTCTGGACAGCAGTATCTTCAAACATGAAATACTCAACAAGCCAACTTTCCTTGTTAAACCGTTCTAAAAATATACTGCTTTTGCCTTCCCCACCCAAAGCAAGTTTAAGCCTCCCTTCTATATAACCAGGAGAGCTTATCTCATGTCCCCTGGATGATAAGCGTCAAGCTCTCTCGACTCTTTTTGCCCCTGCTTCCTGATCCAAAGATTAATGGTGGCATTTATAGGGTGAATCTTCCCTTCCCTGCCCAGCAAGGAACCACGATAATGCATCATGCCACAAAGTTTCTTACAAAAATTGCATGCAAGTCTGTATCTTCTGTGGCAAAGAGACGAGACCAGAGCAACTGGGTGAGATGGAGCAGACAGCCTCACAACACACGACCACTGGCTCTAGCTGAAGATTATTTTTGCAATAAATTGGAAGCAGAAAAACTCACTTACACAAACTTTAAATGTGAGTATTTGTACCTAGAACAGGAAAAGCTTGTCACAGGCATGTGTTTACATCTAGTAATGCAGGAATCATGCTGGACAGAATTTATATCACATCACCCTGAGAGAATGCAGCCCTACTTTGTGAGCTTGTTCGCATTTTATTTCCGCGCTCCCTCCCCCGAAAAATACTTCAGTGCAGGAAATGACTTTTCCACCTTAAAGAAGGTGCAGTTAAGGAATGTTTTGGTTACAAGGAGATAGCAGTGCTGTTTTGCTCTTAGGCTTTTAAGCAATCTTGAGCAGTACAAATGCAGACTCAAGTCTCTCCCCCAAGAGTGAAATACACAGTTTGCGGTTTGCCACCTCCCAGGAAAAACAGAATTGTGATGTCAAAGAAGAAAATTTTGCTTCTCTTGGTTCTGATGATACAAGTCACTCCTACCTGAAGCTGGTTACCGCTGACAGCACCTGAAGATGGCAATTCCCCTAAGAAAAAGAAAAAAACACATCAAAACCTGGGCATATTTTTCCTCTACCCATCCTCGATGACGTATCTGACAAGTTTTACCAAGCCCCTCTGACCAATCCACAGGGAGGACCATGTCAGTGGACTTGACTTAATTGTCATCACATGGCTTAACTTTCTACGCACATTAGACCTGGTCAAAATTCCTTTCCATATGAGATGGAAAGCTGGTTTAGATCAAACTAAACCAGATCTGAAACTCTGCCCAAAGCATCAGGTGAACCTTGACAGAGCTAGAGAGCTTTAATCCACTCATGAAAGGAAATCAGGGCCAAGGGGCCAAGAACACATGTGCAGTCATGACTGGACACAAGATGGAAAGCAGCAGCGCAAGAAGGGAGGCAGCAGTTATAAATGAAGCAAAGTACCATTAAAAACAGCACTTTGTGCCTTAAAGACAAACCAAGAGCTGTCAAGCACCTGGAGTTACATGATGCAGTGAGTAACTGACCCCTGTGCCATTTTCACCATGCAGGAGCACTGCTGTTCCTGCAGAATGAGGAGAGCTAGCCAGGCAGAGAAAAACTGCAACACATGTAGCCTTGCCATACTGCTGTCTCACACATTATCTCACTGCTTTAAAAACTGATCCATTAACTTTCAAGGTAAGAGCTGTGAACAAAAAGAACCATTTAAAAAGGAGGACAGTAATATGGGTACTGGAAAGATAGTGACTGCTCTGCTAACACTCCCCCCGGCCCCACCACCACGTGCTGAGAGAGGTAACAGGAGCAGAGATGATCAAGTCCTCCCCTTTCTCCCTCCCACCCCAAGCTTACTGCTGCCTCTTGCATTCAGATTCTTGTATACAGTACCGAGAAAGGCACTGGTAGACCCCTTTTCCTCTAACAGCAGCCCCTACCCATCACTTGAGCTGAGCCACCTCTCGGTGCTAGATCTAAACAAACTATTTCAATCCAAAATGAAAGGAATCAATACAGAGTCTCAGAACCAAACAAACATTGTTAGATTTTTGGATTGCTCTCCTCCTAACGGAGAAGGGGTGGGGGGTTCTTTAGGTTCATTAGAACCACAAGGAGACATCCCCAGAGCTCCAACCTGGATTCAGGGCGACTATCCTTCTGGCTGAGGACTAGACAGGAATCAGGATTCCTCTTTGGCTCCTTATTCAGCTAAATGGATGACAAGGGGCTTCCATCAACTCCTCCCTCTTTTAAGGGATTGGGCCCAAAGACTCTGTAGTACTCATGGCTCATGCCAAGCTGAGGGGGGAGAACCTTGGATCAAGATCTGAACTTAAGTCTCCATGCGTCTGTGCAAGGAATCACCACATTAATGTATCACAGTTTAAACAGTGCATTATATTGTGCATATGTAACTATACACACCCCCACATCCAATACTTATTTATGCACCAGCATGTCAAGCAGAAAGGTCACAGCAAGAGGAAAGAGGAGTCGTGTCATTGGCAGCTTACAGAAGAGACAAGTCCAGCAGCAGCTGACCTACGTGAATCCAGCCTTTCAAGCCAAGCGTTAGGAGACATGAGCCAGCTTGTCAACCATCACCCAATGACTTCTCTCACTTGGGACTGTGAAGCATCAACCTGAAAACCACTGCAGTTTTGCATCAGACTACGAATAGCTCTGGCAAAGACTGGTGGGAAAAATCAATGACCTCTTTGGCACAGCGTGTGTGCACGCGCATGTGAGAGAGATTACTGGTAGCATTCAAGAAGTGGAAACTAGCATCTGTGAACAGACTAGGAGGAGGAGTGTGGTTCTGGAGGGCAAGCAAGCAAGCAGTCATAACGCTCAGTCATATTTACTGTTCATTCAGTCTCAAGATGAAACATTTGCGCCTTTAGACTGGAAATCACAACTAAGTTCCCCATATCTCTTGCTCGTTTCTGTTGCACACTGAGCAGATCTTTCACCTAAAAAGATCTCCTTGAAAGAAAACCAAATGCAACAATACCCATCTACAAAATACAGGGTGGTGTGCACAGCTCCAGGTTCCCAAATCCCACAAACCACCAATGAAGGTCCCTTTGGGGGAAGAGAGCCAAGTGCAGTGTTTAATCTGACAGCATGACTGGATTTTAAACTGGCGCCTAACAGTGGCTTACTTCGTCTGTGTTTTCTTCCTTTGTTAATTTACTTTTCTAATTGGCTCTGACAGCCAGTGGTGCATTCGTTGATTTCCGATTGTGATACCAGGGCCAGATCCTCAGTTGACATGAATTGGCACCGTTGTATTGACACAGATTTACACCTGCTGAGGATCTGGTCCATTAGTATTTACACACTTGTATTTGTTTGACTCGCTTGACCATGATTTTTCCCAAATGGCAACTGATTGGTTATTCTTTCATTTTGATCTTTTTTGTTCCTGTTTTGCTTACTTTGTGCATGAGATTCTAGTGTTTTAATTTTTACAGTTCAATGGGTCAAGTCCCTAGGATCTCATATTTGCCTGAAAGGCAAAAAGCCTTCTCTTACTTAATGTAGATATTGAGGCAGAAATATTTTAACCCTCTCCCCTGAGAATGGAAACAAATTACCAAGGGAACATAACTGCAATACAGAATCCAGCCATCCGAACCAGAGAAACAGCTAGGATCAAATTCCTCCCCTCCTGCCTCCTACATGCTGGTTACATCTGCCAACCCAGGCAGTCTGGGCATTGCTGTCTTTCTGTATCATCTCTTACCTTTTGTTTTTCTATCCCCTGAAAGCGGCTTTTTAGTTTCTGCAGTAAGCAACAGCTCATAAGGATGCTCCTCCTCTTCCTCGGCTGCATTTCCCCTGCTCTTCCTCCGCACCACAGAGGCCTAATGAGACACAGCAAGATGTAGTTGTCTGTCGAACTCAGTGTCATTTACCCCTCTGGTATGCATAGAGCCCTCCTCTATGCCATTCTTCTGACCATTGAATGTGCAGCAGAATCCACCCCTCTGCCAGAGAACTAATTCAGAAGCTAAGATTGTTCCTTAAAAATGCAAACCTCCCCCAACCCCGACACTACTTTCTAGCTCTTACGGTTGGAAAAAAGCCTTCCAGACGGCCCAAGTAACTGATGTAGTGATGACTGAAAAATGATGACTGCAAGCAGCCTGAAAAAAATCCCGATCTACTTTAAAGGGATGCTGACTCAGACTTCATGAGGCAAACTCCATTAGCAACTTATTAACTATTTCACTATTGATTGGGTTTGTGAGACAAGTATGCTCGCTAACTGAAGTATTCAAACTACCTCCTTCTCACACTTTCCCAGGTGCCAAAAGTTGCAATTAGCATTTTCAGTATCAAGTTCCACAGCGTGCTTCTAACTGAGAAGACCAGGCGCAATATAAATTGAATTTAACATCAAAGTAACAAAGGGAACCAAAGTGACTGTATTACTTATTTCCATTTTCAAGAGAAACCCCTTGTTGTAATTAAATGGCTCTGGAACAGCTGGAGAATCCCCAACCAACTGCACTGGAGAGCTGCAGAATGCAGGCGTCTTGCTGCAGAGTACATGCACCTTAGCAAGGAATTACTTCTACGAAGCCTGCCAGTGGTGGTCTTCGAACACACCCAACCTCCCAGGCAGTCAAGTTACCTTCCTTGATCCATTGCACCTCCAATGCCAACGTATTAGAGACCAAGGCAGTGGTTCTCAACCTGCGGCCCAACCAACACACAAGCTGCGGCCCTGTGACATCCTCAGAGCCATACAGATAGTATTGGATGCGGCCCATATAATATGCTGTGGGCTGCATAAAGAGGTTGAGAACCACTGGACTAAGAGCATGTCTATGCTGCCCTGCAGTTCAGCCTACGGTGTATCTATAGCAATGCACACCGAAGTGCTGTGCGGTAACCCCCCCACGTGGACACTGAAGGCACAAACAGCAAGGTTCTTGCTTTGCATCAGTATAGTCCTGTTTGAAGAGGACTACAGACATGTGAACTAGTTCGCGCCCTCAGTGTCCTCATCAGGGAGATACAGCACAGCACATTGGGTGCGCATTACTATTCACACCCCCATTGGCTAAACTGCAGGGCTGTGTAGACACGTCCTTAGTCCGTATCAGGTTCAAACTAACTCAAAGCCTCACCGTGAAACCGAGTCAGGAGTTTGCTTCGCATGGTGGTGAAGCTTAGCAAATCATTTGAGGAACATGCTCTGGGTATGTAACAAAACCAGGTTAGTTTCCCAAGGTTTTGCATTTACATGCGCATCTGCAGTCAAAACACCTTGATTTCCTTGAGCCCTAAATAAGGAACGAAAGACCTTCAGTAATAGGCATGCACTAGCCTGGGCAGTCGGCAGTCAGCACTCAGATCATAGGACTGGCTTCTCACTTCATGTTGCGAATAATCCCACCACAAGTCACCCATCACTGCACCCAGTCTCACTCACCCATTTGCAATGTTCAGTCTGGTAGCTAAATTAATGACAAGAAAGTGACCATTTCCACCTGGTTTATATGCACCGAATCCATGAGCACTGAACGTGGCTAACTGTGCTGGAATGTTCACTGCTACTTTGCCTCCAAAGAATGAAGGCTTTAAAACAGGAGCATGACAAGTAGCAGCCTTTGGAACGGCAAGTGTGCAGTATGCCACCTTCCTTTTTGAAAGGAAGGCATCACTCCCTCCCACTTCTGCTAGAACTATTAAGACCTTGCATGTTTGGGGGCATTAGAGCAGATATTTTATTTTTAAGCCAGCACACCCGATTTACTGTTATTTTCCCCACTCTGATGCAGCTCAAGAAAAAAAGTGTTTTTGCTTTTCTACAATTTGTACCACAGCAGTCCCAACTGAGATGAGAACTCTGTTTGCTAGGTGCTCTACAAACACTGAGAGGCAGACCCTGGCCCTAAAAGCTTACAGTCTAAGCTATGATGTGACTGCCTGTTACGTTAAACTGCCAGGATAGGCTACTAACAGAATGGCCTGGACTAACAAGCCACAGTTTACTTAATGAGGGTTTCAAACCATGCAAGCACTTTACATAACTTACTGGCTGGACTATCCACACTGCTTCAAGTATAGTTGGGTACCTCCTCTCGATGGGAGAGGCTGGTTAGAGAACATACACTGTTATTTTAACTAGGCTTTGCCTATTCACAGCATCTGTCTGAGTAAGGGTCTCAGAAACGCTGAACATTAAGAGTTACATCTCTCCTCTGAGGTAGGTATTTATATACATCCCCAAAGCACTGAGAATAGGTAGATCTTGCACTGTGTCCTGAGAGTCCAACACCGGCTCTGATGATCTTTTTTTTTTGGGGGGGGGGGGGGGGAAGAAGAGAGGGGTGAACCTTACAAATCTAGGACCTTCTACCCTCAGCAATGACTTGCACGAGGTATTTGACATTTGAATCTCTTTAAGTGAAAGAAGACAGACCTTAAGTCCTATGCTATCTAACTTCCATCTAGACATGCACCAGGGATGGGCAGAAGGAAATTCAAGTTAACATCTCATCCATCATGCATGCACATGGTTCATTTCCCGAAGTACATTAGACTGAGTAGGTAATCAACTCCTTATTCCTATTCATTAGGAGCCACCACCCAGTCAGTGTTTGAAAACACCCTGTCAAACATACTTAACCCTATAAACATTGAACACTCCCAGATCTGGATGATTTCCTGTAATTCACCTCTTAATGGTCTGTGCTGCCTTTAGGATTCTGCCTTTAGGATTTATTGCTTCAACTTAAAAAAACAGGTGGCTCTAATTCGGTCTCTCTCCCCCCCAGCCAGAGAACTACAGAATACCATTGGAATAATCACATTTTGTCTGAAACTAGGTGTGTCTAAGCTTCCCATTTTGGTGATGGGAGTAGTAAATAAAAGATGAACTGAAGTCTTGTCTGAGATTTCAGTCTCTTATTAGGCTACAGAGACAGAAGGGTTCTATTGATGCTGAAAAAATTCACTAGTCAGCTATGAGCAATCAGCTATTCTGCACATAAGTGCAAAACATCTCTCAGTGGTGAAAGTCATGGTGCATAAGTGAGGAATAACTGCTTACACTGTGAAGGCTGTCTCATGGCAACAGAATAAAAGGCTGTTTTGAAATAAAAGCTTGGCATTTATAGAGTTCAGTTAAAAAATAAGAATACCATAATGTGTAATTTTCTCAATCATGATTTTTTCCTGTCCCTAAAGTTATGGCAGGTTTTGAGGAGGTAGATGAGGATTCTGTGTCATGTGTTTCAATGAGACATTTACAGTCTTCCTAGGGCACACTGTCCCAGCAGCTGCCCCTGTGGTGGACAGACCTGGCAGCAAGAACATACGTTGTGATATGACAATAGGGCAGGGTTTCAGTGGGCTCTGCTAAAAATCTTCTACAGCTATTGTATTAAAATCGCTCCAGGATGACTTTTCAATTGCCTAACAGTATCACTGTTATTGATCACATTCATTTCTAACTTGGTCAAGAGCACTCCACCATGAGGGCCATACAGGCCAGGATTGAATGTCAGTCATGACTTAGTCCAGTCTGAATGGAAACATTGCATTTTTATCCTCAATTCAAAACTAGGAATTCTCTCAAATTTAACACCCCTCCCCCCAAAAAAATTTCTCTTCAGACAGAGATCAAGCATTGAAAATTTTATCCTGAAAGGAATTCTGGGAAAGCATGAGTATAAGAAGCGGGAATAACCGCTTGAAATAAAACGGTTTTATCATCTGATCTACAGTAATCAATACCAGACCAGCTACAATAACACAGTCAGTGCATGGATATCACTGCAGTTGGTTTCAAACTAACATGCCCTTGAAGAATCACTTTGTGCACTCATCTGTTTGCCAGCAAGATTTCCCATAGCTAATCATGTTTCCACTTCACCTTTAATGGAGGAACGGTAAGAGCAAGTGTTTTGTAATTATGATCAAGATCATGTACATTATGCTTATCTTTATAAGCAGAGTTTCTGCTTCCAAATTACCTGGTGACTCCTTTCCCCAGCCCACGCGTGCGCACGCACGCACACCCCCAACCAAAAGACAGGCATGTGGAAAGGATTATGAAATTAATCTGAAAGACCATTTGTAATGCCAGCGAAACCCGTTCAATAGGCCATCGTGAAACAGTCTAATAAATTGATTTTACCCCCAAAATATCCCCAGACGTACTGCACAGTTCTACGTGGGTTTTTTTTAAAGCCAACATTTTCACTGACACCTTGCATATATATGCTGTACTCCAAACAGTAGCAGATCAAGATAACCAGATGATAAAAATTTAAATCCAAGTGTCTGGTGAACTGAGAGTCCGTTCAAGAGGAGGGAGGCAGAAAAGACTTTCAACTTGTATCTTTACATATATCTTACTTGAGGAATGCTTAAGATTTTTAGTACAGCAGGAAGTTAGCGAGGTTCTCTCGGGATCTTTATTACCTGTCAGCAGAAGTCTCCAACTACACATTAAGGGGGTTTTCTCATTTAAGTGCCTTCTGCAGAGCTTGTTCATCTGACGTTTTGGGAATTTGGCAAAATGAGCAACAAGACAGACTGCAAACAGTTCAATGTGCACGATCAAGTTTGGCATCACAAAGCACCATATACAGACTAGACATCTGCAGGTGGAGATTTCTTTCACACACGCAATGGACCAGATCCTCAGCTGGTATTAATCAGTTCAACTCCACTGAAGTTACACCAATTTACACCTCTAAGTATCTGACCCATAATTGGGAGCTAAGATGCAACATGATTTAATGGCCTCACATCTCTGCAGACCCGGATTCAAATTCAGGCTTCGGCATTAAACGAAAATATATTTAGTGGGTTCATGATAGCTGACAACTGTCCACATCACAAAACCATTGCCTGATGGGAATTCCCTTAGGAAGAGACTTTAAGTCTGAAACTGGAGGAAGGGTTTCAGGTCAGGACTGAAGTGCACTGGCAGAGTTTCATAAGGGAAGTTTCCATATCAAATTGCCAGTAATATTGCCTCACACAGCAAATCCTTCACTTTCATGATCAGATTCACAAGGGAGTTAAGATCATCATATTTGGCTCCTCCCGGACCATTAAAACTCATCTTTAAACCACACATCCACCGACCCCTGCAAAAAGCAAGCCCCCAATAACGCCTGCGTACCTCACACGAAGCACTGCGACCTAGCTTCTTCTCCACATGCTCCTCCTCTTCATCAGGGGGTGGCTTGGCAGGAGGGGGTGGACGCTCTCTCTGCGGTTAAAAAGGCCACCGTTAATGGCTTTGTTTTAAACTCCTTCCTTTCAGCCCCCTCTTATATGCTTAAAGGGAAACTCTGTCCCCTGATAAGACTTTTTAGAGTGAAGGACGGCAAAAAGGGTTTGCCCTAACGGCTGGGAGATTCCCAGCTGGGCTGGTGCCTATGCTCCTTCACAAAAGCACCTTTCTGACTCTGTGCTCCTTTGAGTTGCAAAGGATTAGTTCATTATTATGGTACAAGCTGCGAGAAAGGGAGAGTGTTTAGATAATTTGCTTATGTTACTCATTAGCAGGAATAAATACGTTCTGGAGAGGTGTGCTGAGTTATGAGAGAACACACGGGACATTAAGAGACTTCCCTGGACCACATTCCTCACAACACTACAGGGTTACTACTTGACAGTTAAACAGCTCTAAAAATCCTGCCATACGCTCATTGCATTTCCACTATATCTTGACTACTCTAGATACTTCATGCTCTCTCCAGCAGCAGCACCTACTGGCAAGCATGGATGCTCAGGCACTTGCTCCAAATCCTGAGCAGATTTTGGGGGAACTCCAACCAGTTTCTGCTTTTCAGAGCACTTCTTCCCCCTTCCCATCCCAGTTTGGCAAACTTGACCTTCTGTGCAGGCTGTATGGGATGAGTTTAGCCTCAAAGGCAGCACTATTACAAAAAGTCCCCATATACGGACTTAGTCTACTTTTAGCGGTGGTTCATGGCAGGATTCTGCTTTGGGTGTTTTACACTTGTAGAAAGGGTCTGGCAGAAGTTTTCCTAAACCTTGTTTTTTAGATTGGTCTCACATCACTATTCCAGTAGCAGATATACTAGAGGAAAAAGAGGTTCTATAGGTTCTCATTTTGAAACTGTACGAAGCTGGTTTCAACATCCACCTCGCTGGTAAATTATTCATTGCTGATTTCCTTCTTATCTGCTTCAACTCCCCCACTTCAACCTCCCAATAAAAAACCACAGACAACATGCTATGAGCCAAGGTCCCACCCACCCCATGGCAAAAGGTTGCCACCAGCTACTAAAGCCCCAGCAGATGCAATTAACAGAAGGCTAGTTAGGCTGATTTCTTTGAAAAAGACCTTCCAATGACTACACACTTCACTTGCAAAGCCTCCAGCGCCCCTTGCAGGATTCTGTCTGCAAATGACATGCAGAACAACTTTGCTGCCAATGCTAATCACAACAGCTGAAGCATCTGGGGAAATCAGCTTTATTTTACAACTGGGCATTCAAAGGTGACTGGATTACATGCCTTTTGGAGAGGGTAGAGGGTGGCAAGAGAGGAGAAAAATGTCTCAACTCTGAGAATCATACTAGACTCCAGAAGTTTCCTTATAGCCAAGGAGTTAAACCATAAACAAAAATACGTCCTAACAAAGTAAGTGACACTCACTGTATAAAACCCCCTCAGCGGCCCAACACCATGCTGGATACACAGAACCAGAACCATTGGTAACCCAATGCAATTAATAAGCAGCAGATTTAAAACAAACATTCTTCTCTCAATCCACTGTGAGCCTGTGGAACTCCTTACCAGGGGATGTTGTGAAGGCCTACAGCATAACTGGGTTCAAAAAAAAGAACTAGATAAGTCCCTGGAGGATAGGTCCATCAATGGCTATTAGACAAGATGGTCCAGGATGCAACCCCACACTCTAGGTATCCCTAAACTTCTGACCGCCAGAAGCTAGAACTGGATGACAGGGGATGGATGACTTGATAAATTGCCCTGTTCTGTTCATTCCTTCTGAACCATCTGCAACTGACAAGTATCAGAAGACAGGATACTGGACTAAAGAGACGATTAGTCTGGCCCAGCATGGCCATACTTTTCTTACAGACTTGGACAAAAAACTGACAGACGACGGTAGGAGTGGTTACACGCAGGGAATACTATCGAGGGAGCACACACATCCCAAGCAGGAAACGGAGGAGATCCTGATTGCTCTAATCAAGCTTAGTGGTGGATCTAAAACTTATTTCCAACTGCGCAGCTGGGTACTCAGCCTGTATCAAGAGTGCGGTAGTGTATGGGAATGAAGATAAACACTTTCTATATTCCTTAAAGAGACAAATAAAAACACACATGGCTACGTACAGGCCTGATTCCTGCTGCCTTAAGACCCGTTGTCTCTGCTTCCTTATTCACAGAGTCTCTGTCTGAAGACCTCCCACTGGCCAGGCTGTCCAATGAGTGGCAGGATGTCGCACTGTATAAAGCTTCATAAGGACACTCCTCCTCTTGGTTCATTTCAAAGTCTATGATCAGTTCAGTCACTGCTTTCTCCACATCACCTGGAGGGAATGAAGAATGCCCCATCAATCACACGTTGAAAACAGCAGGAGCCACACAAATCAGGACTACAAGCAAGCCGCATGGATAAAAATTGATGATTTGCAAAGGGAGGAGGGTTTTTTGTTTTTGTTTAAAATCAGATATTTTGGATTTTGTTATTTAAATTATAATAAGTTTTTCTTTTTAAAATAGACGTGTTTAAAAATAAATCTGAATTTAACAATATATGTTAAGGCCTAAACGTTGAACCATGTTTCGATAAGAGAAGTTTACGTATCTAAAACATTTAAGGTTATTTTGTTTAATAAAAATAAATTGTATGCTGCTGTATTTAATAAAATTCCAGTTATAATTCTAATGCAGCTTGACACAAATAAGTAAAAAAATCATCTAGTAAATAAGCAATATATCAGTCATTCTCTAACATACTAAAAGTGTAGAATTAATAATCTGAAAATATTGAGCTATATAATTGCTCAAGTGTATATATAGTATAACCCTGTCCACAGCAAAAAGATGTACCAAGTTTACTGTAAAGACTATTTAGTTGTAAATCAACATGCTTTAATGGATATATCAACCAATGAGAAGGCACCTTTCTTTAGAACTATAACTGAAGCACAAAGAGAAAAGCTGATTAAAATTGATTACTTAAACTGAGCTTTCCACTTGGTGGTTTAAATCATGAAGAAATCTGAGCCCTTGGCGATTATATTTGTGAACTCGTGGTGGGCGGGACAGATCCCAGCGGACTAGTTAAGGGCAACTCTGGTACCTATATATAAAAAGGGGAATAAGGAAAAGCCATGGAATTATAATCCAGTCAATTTAACTTCGGTACCCAGAAAGATAATGGAGCAAATAATCAAGCAATCCATTTGTAAGCACCTAGAAGATAATATGGCAATAAGTAATGGTCGATATGGATTTGTCAAGAACAAGTCATGTCAAACCAACCTAATATCCAGCCTTGTGATAGGGGGAAGCAGCAGATGTGATATATCTCAACTTTAATACAGCTTTTGTTATTGGCCCACATGACCTTCTCAAAGCACCAATTAGGAAAATATATAGTAGGTGCACAATTGGTTGGAAAGCCATACTCCGAACGTAGTTATCGGTGGTTCACAGTCAAGCTGGAAAGGCATATCGAGTGGAGTCCCGCAGGGATCTGTCCTGGGTCTGGTTCTCTTAAATATCTTAATAAATGATGTGGATAATGGCATAGAGTACACTTATGAGTGTACGAATAGGATTGGGAGAGGAAGGGTTGCAAGCATTTTAAAGGACAAGATTAGAAGTCACAATGATCTTGACCAACTGGAGAAGTGGGGGGAAGAATAGCTTAGTGGTTTTAGCATTGGCCTGCTAACCCCAGGGTTGTGAGTTCAATCCTTGAGGGGGCCATTTAGTGATCTGGGGCAAAAATTGGGGATTGGCGGGTTGGACTAGATGACCTCCTTCCAACTCTGATATTCTATGAAATGGCCTGAAATAGGATGAAATTCTGTAAGGACAAACTACTACACTTAGGAAGGAATAATCAATGGCACAAATACAAAATAGGAAATGACTGCCAAGGAAGGGGTACTGCAGAAAAGGATCTGGAGGTTATCGTGGATCACAAACTAAATATGAGTCAACAATGTAATACTAATACAAAAACAAAGCAAACATCCTTCTGAGATGTATTAGTAGGAGTGTTGTAAGCAAGACATGAGAAGTAATTATCCCACTCCACTCAGCACTGAAAAGCCCTCAACTAGAATCCTGTGTTCAGTTCTGGGTACCAGAAGAGATGGATAAATTAAAGTCCAGAGGAAAGCAGCAAAAATGATTAAAGGTCTAGAATATGACATCTGAGGAAAGGTTGGGGAAACAAAACAAAAACTCACCCTGAATTTGTTTAGGCTAGAGAAGAGAAGACTGAGGGGGAACATGATAAGAATCAAGTACGTAAAAGGTTGTTATAAAGAGGAGGATTCTCCTTAACCACTGAGGACAGGACAAATAGTAATGGGCTTAAATTGCAGCAAAGGAGGCTGAGGTTAGACATTGAGACATAACTGTAAGAGTAGTTAAGCCCTGGAAAAAAAGTTATTTAGGGAGGTTGTGGAATCTCCATCATTGAAGGTTTTTAAGAATAAATTGTCTAACCTACAGATGTTTGTCTAAACACCTGTCAGGGATAGTTTAGATAATACTTAGTCCTGCCTTAGTGCAGGGGCTGGACTAGATGACCTATCGAGGTTCCTTTCACTTCCACATTTCTATTTAAATTGTTTTGATTTAAATCAATTGACTCTACAAGCAAATAAAAGAAGTGGCCTAGCAACTGAACAACAATCTAGGCTGCATGCATCACTGCTTAGATATCATGAGGCACACCCACACAAGGGCCACACAAACTCATTAGGGGTTGCCCCATTCAAGAACAGCTGCTGCCATTTTCAGTTCAGTTTGATGTCTTACCCACAAGACTGCTCAAACCATGCTAGCAATAAGCCTTTTTTGACTTCACCAGTGTTTAGCCTGGACTTCCTTGATCAATGCTGGAGAAGGATTTTTCCCTCAGTTATAAAAACCTGTTCTATAGACCAGACAGTCTCCACCAGGGTTGTGTGTCACTACCATGCACCCCTGGAACACAGCCAATCCTTTGGTACTCTCTTTAAGGGAGGATGCGCCACATACATAGGAAGCACTGCAGTCGATTTTACCGGATATGTTTGGTACTTTATGGATCATTTTACTGGTCAAGCAGAGCAGTAGCAAAGACGAGAGCAAACAAACGGCAGCTCCCTCTGGATTTATGGAGGCATCCACCCACCCCCAGGGGCAACAGATGGGATCTGTTATGCAAGTCAGATTTAAAGAACCAGGGGTGAGAGGGAAGGGGAATCATTGGTTTCAGACTATTTGGCTTTCTGGGCACAAAGTATGACTTTTGGATCTATTATAACTGAACCTTATCTCTTCTATACTCAGAGAGCAGTGCAATCATAAATAGTCATCTGCACACCCATCTGGAACTCAAGCCCTGCCTCCCAGACAGCAAATTTCATACCCTGTGATATCCGGACTGCAGGTTCAGTGGCAGGAATGACAGGTGTTGGCAGAGCCTTCTCTGCTGCTTTTGCGCTCCTCTTCCCAATTGTGTGATCTGTGCAGGAAAGAGAAAAAAGCAACATTCAAATAGCGAGAAGCTCACCAGCGGGGTTGCCACTTACCCACGTTAGGCAGACAGTCCTGTTCCCTGGTTCAATATCATGCACGCCACATTCCCACCTTGTGGATCAGAACTAAGTGACTATTCTGAAAGCTGCTGAGCTACATATTAAGATGGCTCAAAAGAAATCTAAGTGCAGGGTTACATCTCGGAGCTCAGCTCACACAATAGGAGCGGATTACCCCTTTAATCACATGTCCAGGGTTAGGAATAATGACACTTTGAACTTCTGCAGAATGCCTTTCATCAGAGAACTACAAAGTGCTTTACAGATCAACTAATTAAGATGCACACCCAACCTTATCAAGCAGATGACTATGTAGCTGTTTTGTGAGATACATACAACATTGAGAAGAGGCAGTGTACTTGTGTGGACCAGCACAGGACAGTCAAGAGACATGGTTTCTAGTCAGGGACCCACGATAACAAGCAAGACAGCTAGGGTAAAAATACTAAGTTTAAACACCTGAAATTAGACATCTGAGTTTAAGTGTCCCACTCATGATACTTAAGCCTTGAAAACTTTCAGTCTTCAAGCAGGCTTCGTTTCCCCATTTGTAAAAATGAGGACAGTATTTGGCAACTTCACAGGAGTAGCATGAAGTTTAATTAGTTCTTGTTTGCAGAATGCTTTTAACCTATGACACTCTGCACAAATGCTTAGTATTACGAACAGTTACATGCAAGATGTGACAAACACCATATCCAACTGAAAGAAAATTTAAAGGAGAAAGTATTACCCAAGTGGGAATCTAGCTAGGATGTCAGAGTTAACTCCCCAACCTTGTGCAAAGGGTCATAGGGCCTTTTATTCCCACAAGTAATCAAGACCTCTGTTTTAAGGATCATCTGCAAGATGGCACCTCCTAGAGCATCATGATGAAACACTGGCAGGGCACAGAATCAGTGACTCAGAAAGAGTACCACCAACTGAGGTAAAGCATGACATCTGGCAGCATTCCTAGATGCTTCTCTCCAAGGACTGTCCTGGCCTGAAGATGCTTAGTTTGTGATGTTGGCTGGGATCACGGAACATGATCATATGGCTACAGCCACATGTACATTTAGACAGAAAAATAAGTATGAATGACTAGAAACACACACTCACTCTATTTACCTTCAATGAGAGCTGCTATTTGTTGGCTTTTCTGAGACGGAAGTTCCCTCACAATATCCAGAGCTGTCAGGCCTCTGTTATCTTTTATATTCACATCAATACCTAGAAGAGATAAAGGCGGGCAGGGTGAGGGAGCATTTTCAGACTAAAGCGACAAAGCTAATTTCTTGTAACTGAGTCATGTCTTAGATGCTCTTCTCGTCATTTCCAGGGCTGAGTTAAAGAAATTCTTCCTCCAAAGAGACCTAAGACCCAACTACCCAGAGAATACCTCTTCCATGAGTCACTCAGAGGAACTATTCTTCCATCACTGGCTGATAAGAGAAAAATGTTGCCACCATACACCATTCCCTTATCACATGCTCCTGGTAAAGCGTCTCCAGGCTATTGTGTCAAAATGTCGCTCTCTCACCTGCAGCCAGCAATATTTGTACCACGTCTGTCTTGCCAAACAAAGCAGCCTCGTGCAAAGCACTGCCCTTCTCAGTCTGTAAAAATTAAACAATATTCCATGAGCCCAGATTGTGAACAGGAACCCTAAAACATTTTAGGGATTGATAAAAACAGGAAAGAAAGTAGATGCATGCACAGTACACGGACAAAAGCAACTCACTGCAACCAATACCCATTACTGGAGTCACACTGTGAGAGAAGCTATTCTGTGGCATTAAGAATTTGGGGTGGGAAGAAGGTTTAACATAGGAGGGCCTCAGAATTATAAACAAAGTAAAAACTTCCCAAAGTTTATTTAGAGTGGTTGTTCTCCCACAGAAGGAAAGACAGATAAGACATACAAGTTTATTTCTGTGCTAACAGAAGTGGTTTGGTAGGAAGAGAACAAGTTCTCTCCACCCCTTTTGGGGACACATTTCACTGCTGTATATCTGCCCCATGAGGGACCCCCCAACACCGCCAAGGACTGAATAGGAGACTGAGCTATTCTCATCCTTAAAGCAGAGTCCTCCAGGACAGAGGTCAAGAGAAGCGAGAAGCTTGCCCTACCACTACAGTGCCTTTTCTATGGGGAGGACTCCAGCCTCCCCAGCTGCTCTCTGACCCCTTTCACTTGCACTAGATTCACATACTGACTGACAAGATACCTGGTAGTTGCTATCCATGCCGGCATCTAGGAGGACATGGACTACAGCTTTATGTCCATTCCTAGCTGCCAGGTGCAAGGGTGTGTGCTTCTTAGTGTTGCAGCTTAAAAGATTGGGGTGAGCATTCAGCAGCATCTTCACAACCTCCAGCCTTCCGTAGAGCGCGGCCAGATCCAGAGGCGTCTCGAACTTGTTATTGCGCATCGTGGGGTCCGTCAGCTCCTCCAGGAGAACCTTCACAACTTCCGTGTGGCCATACTGAGCAGCACAGTGCAGCGCGGTCTCATTGTCGTTATTCTGAAGGGTCATAAACACAGCAGCGGTCAGAAGACTGAAGAAATGAGCCCTTAGGTGCCTCACTCTCAAAACCATTGAAGTTTAAATGTAAAAACAAGACAAACAGCAAGTAGTGGGGATGCAATAAATCCGTTTGAACATAAAGAGCCCAGAGCAGTGTTTTGGTCACGTTCCTACTCCCATTTATCAGGCACAGGTACCCTTCATAAACTGACCAACCCACCCAAGAAAAGCCTGTAGAAAGTCTCAAAACATTCATCAACTGACCTTTACTTTCTCAGCTATGGGAAGCAGTTGCTGTACACAGATATACTCTGCTTTCAAAGCACTGAACACAAAAGCAAGAGACCATATAAAAATTAGAGGACTGCCAAGTTTCTGTGGATTGTCATTTACTTTGCAAGCTCTTGCAGGCAAGGTCCCGTCTTATCTATGAAGCATTCAACAGTCTTGGGCACCATAACAATAAGTAAATGCAAAATGTAACAAGCAAACTACAGTATGGATTCCATCTACAGTAACTTAATCGCCATTGTTTAAAATTTAAACTTCAATTGTTTTTAGAATCCAGTCATTTCTCCTATGACTGAGGTTTTGATTCTTTTGCAGCCATTCCGCTTTTACAATTCTGAAGCTTGTAAGCAGAACATTTCAGAAAGTATGCAGTATGTTTACATTATCACATGCAAAAATGTGAATTTAAGAAATTTAGTGAGCAGCACAGCTCTGTGCCAACCAGACCTCCCGAGGCAAGGCCCTCAATTCAGCAGTGGGCAAGTGTCTAAGCCACAAGTGAATGCCTCTACAGTGAAAGCCTGATCCAATTAATACATGCAGCATCTGTCAAGTTAAAAAAAAAATCAGCAGTGCAGAGTAACTATAGGCAAGCAACCCGAAAAAATTTTTCATTTCCAGGTGCAAAATGTGTGAACACCTTCCCTGGATTTAAGCCAGTCTGCTTTCAACTCATAAGCTCCATTAAAATTTCTAATTTTACTACTGTGTATTATATACACAGAAATATTTCTGTTTAACATTCAAGTACTTACTGGTGTCTGCTTTGACGCAAAAACCTTCAGTACAAACTTGTGCTTTCTCTGCTGCTTTCACAGCAGTTCTAACCGTGGCACAAAATTCTTTTTGCTATACTTCCCTTTTTAAAAAAAGGATAGCTATTTTGTCTAGCTAGATTTCATTGCATATGGCCAAAAGGTTTCCAGGTTGCTTTTTTTGTGAATGGTGTTTTGTGGATTATGATTTGCAGAGGAAAGTCTCAATATTTTGCACCATTTGCCATTGAAATAAGCTGTGAACTGGTCGGGATCTACACGTGCTTTAATCCTACTAATGTGTTAAATCACAATCTAAAGATTACAAAACTCATGCATGCAAACTCCCATTGGTTATCTGGTATTTGACTGCATCATTTTTCAGCCACGTGAAATGCATAAGGAAAGTAGGGAGCTGTGGAAACAGCCTCTACAGTCATGACTCACTTATAAAAACAAACAGAATAAGGAAGTGAGAAGCCTCAACAGCCACATGCAGAAATAAGCAACATTTATAAGAGAAATGTGTGGGAGATGCAGGGTATCACTATTAGAGTACAAGTTTAACAGAGAGTAACAACACAGGCTAAGCAGCCATAAAGAAAGCAAGCGAGCACGGGGAGCCAGGCCAGTGAATGCAAAGTGAAGAGGACACAACGTACAGTTAAGCAAGGGAAAGATACTGAATTGCTAACAGTGAACACCTAGCACCCCTTATCTGTACATCTCAAAGCATTTACCATGGTTGGGAAGTAGCATTAGCCTCATTTTACAGATGGAATCCAACCCATCTCAGTAATAACTGAACAGCTTCTCCATGACAGTGAAACGAGTCTGGGGGGTCTCAGAAGGCAAGTGCCCACATCACACAAACATTAAGCAATCTTCCCAATCTCTGCAGAATGGTGCGGAGACTGTTGTGCTCACTCCTAGAGCGGATCTCTCCCAGCAGGCGCAATGGTGGGACAGTGTGAGGGGAAAACTCCTTGCCAGAGACAGCATGAGCGCAGAAAATTTCCACCATTAAGGCTGCCAGCCTAGAACCTTTCACCAGCACAAAATTCATACCCCTCAAATAGATCCACACAGCACTGCATGCATACAGAAGTGTATACCTGTTGAAGGAGTGTCTCAGAGACAGCATTAAATAATTTTCTAATAAGTATTCCTTAGGTCCTCTACCTTCAGATGGCAATCTGGTCCAAAGAGGGAGGGGTCATGACCACCCTCTCTTTCCTTACAGAGAGATGGGAGGAGGCCCTGAAACTATGGATGGGACCCTAAACCTTTTTCCTTTTCTAATATGGGGTCACAGGATGAAACAGACTGTACTAACAGTATCTAAACCAAGTCTTTCTCCACCACTGAATGAGAGCCAGAAGCTCCTGTGAACTCAGCTGCATAAATGCTCATTGTCTCAGCAGCAGACAGCAAGAGCTGGTATCTTCATGGGTCTCCACTCCTTCTACTAGGAGAAATGGGAGGTTCACTATCCAGGTTTTCCGTTGTACATGCACTCACTTGGACTTTTGAGCCTAGATTGCATTTACCCTGAAATCACTTCCCTTATGTTAATAACGGAAAGTTATTTAGGGCAAACATACACAGAGCAACCAATACCAAACATACAAATCAGAAACCCACAAATGCACTGTGGGGAGCAGAGAAATGGACAACGGGGAAAGCTATGAACACCCAACAGCCAAGGCAAGCACTGAAGCTATTCAGGGCAGAGGAGACTCACCTCCATGCCCCAAATCACCACCCCAAATGAGGGTGGAGAATGACAAAAGGGCAGACCCCCTGGTTACTCTATGGTGGGAGACAAAACTCCTTCCCAGGAGCCAGAGACAGTGAGACGTCATGTTTCAGACTTACTAGTCAAAGACAGATAAGAACAATGGAGACCCTAAGTAGGATCCAGGGACAGCACTCCTGTAGCAATCCCACCACCGCCCCTCTTCACAGCAGTTGGGAATAGGAAGTTGGGCTTCCTACCAGACTTGGCCCAGGGACCTCTGAGTAGAGAAGCAGAAGAGGGGAAAAGCCTCAGCTTACGCATCAGCCTCTGGAGCTAGTAGGTGTCTGGTAAATTTTTCCAACGCTGGTAACTACGTACCTACCATACCCCTTATCAGACCTGAATCCTATGCCTTTCACAAACACGACACTTTGCACTGGAGCATTCAATACGAACATTTCAACACACCTTCCCACGATTTTCCTAGTTCCCTCTCCTAACACATTATCTGGGCTTTCTTGCTTTGCGCATTTCTAAGAAAAAGTGCTCTCAGGCTATAAAACCCTTTGGAAAGCCTCCATGCAGGGCCCAGCTATGCTCCCAGTCCTTCATGCACTCACTGAAATACAACCTGAAACACACAGACAGCCCTCTCACTGTGATTGCATCCCAAGATGAAAGAAGAAACACTTGCTGAGCAACACCCAGGCTACTTCTCCACTAAGCAGCGTGCCATAACATTCCGATATAACAGGGTAGGGAAGTAGCCAGAAGCTCTGGGATCAGTTACAGCATCACCATTCCACACAAGAGTCTGCAGTCCCCTTGCACGCCCATGAATGCAAAAAGGAACTCCACGCGGGACACAGGATTGAACGGATTCTCCCATTTCTGTAGGTGCCCAACACTGCCAAACACAAACATTTCAGAAAAAGGATCCCCAGTTGTCTGGCCATCCATCGGGTGGGTTCACTGCCCAGTTTTATTTGCAGACTGGAGATGGTATGCTTCCACTTTTATCAGTGGCCCATGCAGATTTTATAGCACACATTAAACCCAATCTCCATTATTTGTTTGTTTCCAGAGAGCAATTAAAAAGATACAGAGAACTTGTGTGGCATAGCTTGTTTTTCCTTTAACTGCAGGACTGAGAGCTTTTCTACTCTGGTTTTGGTTAACTGGTCAGTTTCTTCACAGGAGTTAGCCAAATTAAAGGAAATAACAGTTACAAAAACAAAGATAGCACTCCCTCATCTCCTTAACTTAATTATACCACTCATTATACACAGCTTCCTCAGGTCTGGAATACCCTATAATCAGGTCACCTGCAGCGTACATTGCAGGGACCATCTGCTCAGTTGTAGGGGGGAGGGATAGCTCAGTGGTTTGAGCATTGGCCTGCTAAATCCAGGGTTGAGAGTTCAATTCTTGAGGGGACCATTTAGGGATCTGGGGCAAAAACTGGGGATTAATCCTGCTTTGAGCAGGGGGTTGGACTAGATGAACTCCTGAGGTCCCTTCCAACCCTGATATTCCATGATAGGCATCTTTTTTTAAACCTGTCAGAAGCACCCAAGTCTTATTTTTGAAACAGTGGCTCCTAAGTCACACTGACTTCCAATGACACTTAGCTCACACTTGAGTGACTAAAGGACTTAGGGGCCTTAGGTGCTTTTGAAAAAGTTATCCTAAATAAAATGCAGTTCTCTTTTTAACTTATGATCAGTGCACCAGGAGCCCAAGGAAAATCTTTTAAAAATATCCTTTACAAAAACCAAGTCCACAAAAAAGATATGACTAACTTAATATCTCTAGAGATATTTTAGCTCAGTAGCACTGCATTGCAGCACTTTTCACAAGAAACACTGACAAACTCCAACATTATTTTACAAAGCTCCTTTTAACACATTAAATTCCCCATCCTTAGTATGTGTTTCCACAGAAAAGACTTGTTGCTGTAAAATTCCACCTTTAAAAAAAAATGGAGAAAATGTGATCTTCAGTTACACATTTTTATTCAAAAAGAGGTATGCACTGGAGTTTATTTCCTGTAACAGATATCTGCAAATACAATCACCCTACTCCCCCATCAGCTGGCAAGCCCCAGAACTCTGCCTGTGTACGGTACTGCAGATCAAGCACAGTTGAACTTTTAACTGAACTTTGAAGAACTAAAATCTGCCATGGCTGGATGACTCCAGAAGATTTGTCCAGAAGCCATCCTGGGTTGATAGTTGAAAACAGAATCATCTCATGATAAATCAGCGGGCTATTATATCACTTGCCTGAAGCCTGGCTATAAATAAAACTCAATTAAACACGGCAGGTGTCTGAGCAAAATACTACTGTCTATCCACTGGCAGACAGAACAAATGACCTTAGAAACATTTTAATCTGCTTCACTGGATGGTAAGTTCTTATTTTTGTGCCCTTTTTTGGATCAAGATTTCCTGAAAGCAGAGAGAAAAACCAACAGGCAAAAAAAACACAGGGACAGAAGACTGGGGATAAAGAGCCAGACACAAAACACAAGGACTCAACACCAAAACAAGAGACCGATGCAACAAGCAAAATGGGAGGTCTTAGATGGTACAGACATTACTGTCCCCTGCCACCAAAAGCATTAGCTATCCATTTAGAAAAATAGTATAATGTCACTACAAAGGAGATTGGTCATTCACTCTGGAAACCCCATGAAGAAAATGCAGCCATCTTTAAGCAAGAAAAAAAATACCCATTCGTTCAATTTCTGCTCAGTAATAATCTGAGGATGTGAAACAAAATCTGAAGCATTTTAATGAAATTGTTACCTTTTGGAAGTCATCCAACCAAATTGACCATCACCACGAATCTCATATGTTTAAGTATTGAAAGTAGGGAAGAGATTTCCCTAAATAATCTCTCTAGAACTGGCTTAAAGAAACCCACAAATAAATGGTTGCATTTTACTGTTCCTCAAGTGGCTGGAAACCAAGCAGGCATCAGCCAACTAGATGACAATACACCTGGATGCATGAAAGTGCAGCTTGGAGTAATGATGCAGTGAAATCCTGACAGCGAAGTACACACCTTGGCATTGATATAGGGGTCAAAAGGGCCGTACTTTTTGAGTTCTTTGATCTCAAGAGTATTCTACAAAAAGGAGAGGAAAAAAGAAAAATGTGACAATGAAATGGGTGAGATACAGCAACAAAGCAATGGGTGACTCTGAAAGGGTGGGGATGACAACATAGCATCTCATTCCAGTTAACTACACCGGTCATTCCAGCTGGTAGATTGCATAATTTGAACCACTGTGCACAGCATTTACAAACCTTTAAAACATAAAATGTGCAGGCTATTTAATAGACTTTATAAATGAACAAAGGTTCCCACTCAAGACCAAACATTAGAGAAACATTACCGTGAAGAATTACGCTCAATTCCATCTTCTGCACAGGTTTCTTTCATACCTGTCCTACTCTAACCTCAGGCAACAGATGCACTAAGACTTACATGATCACTTGGTTGACTCCATCACAGATTGATTGTAAACAGTTGAGTATGCTTCTTAAATCTGTTTACAACCAATATATTTAAATAGAACAGATTGGCTGCCTGCAGCTGTGCTGCGGGGCACTACTAGGCCTGGAGCTGAAACATGATTGCCAAACATAATGTAATCAAAGACATTTTCGATGTGCACATTTAGCTATTCTTACTTAATCAAGGAGTGGTAATAATTAGCATTGACAGCACTTTTCATCCTCACGGTGCTTTACAAACTACTAATTCAGCCTGAGAATGGCCTCGCGAGGCAAGGAACTCCATTTTACTTACGAGGAACAGAGAATTTAAGCGTCTTGTGCAAGGTGTCACAGGGAGTATGTGTCTCAGCCAAGTTTAGAACTCCAGAACTCCTGAGTTCCAGTCCTTTCCTCCAACCACTAGGGAACACCTCTATAATAGGGGAGGTTTACTGATAGTCTGAATGGTACTAAAGAACACATTTGCCTCCCAGTCTGCAAATAGGAGGACATTACTTAATAACAGGCTGCTTCCTTAACCAAATGCTTAGCTAAAGGGCAAAATCATAGAATCATAAAACCATAGACCTTGAGAGGTCTTCTAGACAATCCCCTGCACTCAAAGCAGGACTAAGTATTTGTTTATATCCAGCAGCCACCTGTCTAAGTGAGTGGACATGCATTTCACACGTGCTCTTATTTGTGTCAGAGATGCATGGAGAAAACACGACAGGCTTTCATGGGAAAGCTACACAGGGAAGTTAGCACTCCAAGATGAGAAGACAGCACAGAACAACAGATTGATACAAGCCAAGCCAACCTGCATCCCACTCAAAGACCAGGGTGCAGAAAGGAGGCTATCTTACTTGATCATCTCATCCAATTGAGAGGACTGTGCTTTAGGATCAAGTTATAGTTCTTTATTTGGGGTAGATGCAGGCCATATGCTTTTAAAAACCCACACAATTAGTCAAGTGGGCACAAGTACTTAAAAAAAAAAAAAAAAAAGCACTAGGCATGTGGGGTCAACCAAAGACTTAACGCTGCTTTGATTAGTTCCCGACAGAAAGAGCCAGTATATATCCTTTGACAGTACTAGCAATCTTCACTTAATCATCCAGCAACTGGAGAGGAAATAAATAATAGCCAGTGTTTGTTCTGAAAACCCAGTCGGAGAGCAGATCGCCACTTCCCAGGCACTCTGTGGTTGACTGCTCACTTTCACACCCAGCCACTCAAACTTTGATTTAACCCATCAGCATTAGAGCACCCCAGCAAGCAACAGTGTTTCCAACATTCAAACCCATCCATTTCCAAATTGCTCAGCACCTTGTGTCGTACAGCTGACATTCCTTTCCACCCTAGGAGTACCAATCTGCTGGTACATTAGACACCAATAGGAGGAGGAAGATATTCAGACCTGTTCATTCACTTTAGTGTGGGAGGGTCCCTGATGGATGAGAAGTTTTACTATCTCTGCGTCTCCTTTCCAGGCTGCCAAGTGAAGAGGGTAACAACCTTTGCAGTCCGCCACATTGGTTAGCGCATCATTCCTCAGCAGAACTTCCACCACGTCCCTGGAAAATAAGGCTATGAGTCTCCAAGATACTCAGTCGCAACATAACCAAAAAGGGTACTGTTTAGCAGTTAGCACCCAAAAAGTTTAGGCTGCTCAAGAACAGTGGTATACAAACACAACATAAAACCACAAAAAAAAAAAACCAACACACACCCCCCAAATCTGAACAGTAATAATTTCTTTTTATCAAAATTAAAGTTTTGTGGATTTAAAAATTCCCACAAAGCGTTGCCGAAGAATTATAGACATGTAGGGCTGGAAAGGACCTCAAGAGGTCCTTAGTCCATCTCCCTGTGCTGATTAAATATACCTAGACCATCCCTGACAGGTGTTTGTCTAACCTGTTTTTGAAAGCTTCCAACAATGGCTATTCCACAACCTCCCCAAGTAACCTGTTCCAGTGTGTAACTATCCTTAAGAGTTAGAACGTTTTCCTAATACCTAAGGTTTAGGTTAAATCTCCCTTGCTGCAAATTAAGCCAATTGTTTCTTGTCCTATCCTCTGTGGACACTGGATCACCATCCTCTTTATAACAACTTGTTATCTGAAGACTTGTATCTCCCCTCAGCCTTCTCTTTGCTAGAAGAATTTCCACATAGGTCATACTTTCTAAACTTGTGATCATTTTGGTCACACTGGTGGAAACCTGTTCTTCAGACATGCTGCACAGCTGTGCAATGTGAGTCGCACCAGTGTCAATTTGTTGCATTGGTGTAAGTCACTTTTTACACCTGCATTGGTAGTGTCTGAGTGAGTGTCTCAGTGCAAAAAACCTATTGGAGGCAAGCTCCTACGGTCATGGTACAAGCCGAGTAAAACTGAGGAAAAAAGCTTTGAGGCAAAAAGTTAGGTTTTTAAGGCTATTTAAGTTTCAGTACATCATCTTATCACTGTTCACTACTAGCCAAGATTCTACACATGTACTAAAGACTAGAAAAACTGCATGTTATTGTATTGTATTTAAGAAAATGTGATCAAGTAATTGGAGACAGCATTGTAATAGACATGCACATAGGGGCAGCATTAACACACATACACCAGTAGGATTCTACGGGGCTCTGTTCCTGGAGAGATCATCTTCTGGATGAGTTCCACAACAATAGGCGTTCATCAGTTGTGGTTGAAGATGAAAGTGTGTTCGAGATAGCCCAAGCATCCTAGCCAAATTTTAAGTCTGACTAATTGCATTCTGCAAAATATGCCTGTACAATTTCACCGCAATCTGGTGTTCTTCACTTCTTGTCCTGAAGGTGGTGTCGTACTGCACCACTGCCCTGTTCTATCTCTGAGGCAGCCGCATAATACTTGTGAATAAAGGAATTGTATAGCGCACGCTCTCTCTCCAGAGGCACTTTAAGGTAAGAGGCACTATAGTAAAATTGCTTACTTGTGGCCGTTCAAAGCAGCGTGGTGCAGCGGAGTGTATCCAGTACTGTCAACACAGTTCACATTTGGTCCCCTCCAGATGCTGCAAGATAAAAATCTCAAACAATAAGTCATGTACCAAATTTAGAGGCAGCCAGCTGGCAAAGAAAAGGAAAAGTTTCTGCAGAGTTCTTATGCTAAGTCTCTTATTTCAAATCAAGCCATAATAATGGACTGGCAGCTGCAATTAACTGCAGTAAGGCAGAGAACAGATATTGCACAATGCTGTGTTAAATGAGGGTAACAAACGTTACAAAGCACAACAGAGTCATTAAGTAGACTCACTACTCAGCATTCCTCCCAAAGATCTGAGTTCTCCAGCCAGAGGTTTGCTATTCCCTCACCAATGAATATCCTTAAGGCTTCTCAACAGTACATTAGATCATTAAGAAGTTTTAAAGGAACATCAGTGGCAAAAGTCTATCTAAAAATTAACCACAAGAACAGGTTCAACACCCCACACCATCAACCCACAACTAATGCTCTCCCTTCTCTGAAGGATTTTCATCAGCTGGAGGTCCCTTTTCTCAATGGTAAAAACCATTAAAGGATATGTAAGTGGGAGATTAGTTATGGGATACAGAACGTTTCATCTCTAGATCACTTATGCAAGTCCACTCTGAGTCAGTGGTGACCAAAAATAATCTCCCTCTGACAGCTGTTAGTGAGTCTGTGTGAAACAAGTAGGTGGTCTCAGAGCAGCTCCAAGAACTACTGTCACAACTGGCCTGCCTTGTTGGCAGAGTGAGACCAAGAACTTAATGGGCCATGGAGAATTAATCTTCTCTTACTCCTTAGAAGCAGCCCATCTAGAACAGGATTGAAATATACTGACACAGCCAGGGGAGAGAACATGTGGGCAGGAAGTGCGCACTACCCTTGCCCATGATGTAGTAGTAAAAGGAACTCAATTTCTAGGGCTGCCATGTCTGGCAGCTTTCACCAGCACTTAAACCTGCTTTTAAAAAGATGGGATGGGTACATCTGAACTCAGACATGCTTCCAAAGAAAGCTGTAGACTTCCATCTCTAAGAGTGCCTTCTTTTATAAGCCCCTTTTTGCTGCACATTAGCCTGTTTTGAAACCGATGCATTCAAAAGTACAGTATGATTAATTAATTGAGCCTAGAAAGGTCCCAGCTCCCATAGGCATTTTTGTTTGGCTTTTTAAAGAGAAGCAGGACTGGTGCTTGGTTGCCCTCCTCCCCTCCCCTGTTGCACTGTCTTAAAATAAGAGTGAACTGTTGCTGTTTATGAACCAGGGCTGACAATATCATTTCCTCCACAGCACGTAATCACTGTGGCTCATGGTACGATACACAGGCAACACAAGCAGTCATTAGGTTTTCTATAACAGTCATTACTCATGGGCCGCTCGCCAGAAAAATGCCACCCCCCACACACTATCAACTCAGCAGAAAGGAACTGGGGTAACACAGGAAGGGCACCAAACCAATTCGGAGTCCTATGTAGACCAAGCAGGAATTCAAATGTAAACCAAACAATTTGCTTCCCTCATTCTGACAAACATGTTCACAAACTTAAGTTGGCCTCCCCAGCCACAAAATACATCATTGACGTTTGTTCCCATCAAGAGAACCCACGTGATCCAGCGGTTAGACTGTTATAAAAAGCCTTCCAGACATAGATAAAGGACAATAAGCAGTGTAGAGAAAAAACAACGGCCAAGGGCACTGGCGGGGAAGAGCAAGCCATGAAATCTACCTTGCACAAAGAGAAGATGGGACCTCTACTTAAATGTCCTATCCAAATACATCCCTACACAATAAACTGCATAGTCCTCAATATCTACCTCAGAAGACAGGCTGTACACCTCATTGACGACTGGAACGCAAGAATATTGGCTTCCCTTTTCGTAGCCCATGCTGTCTTCCCCCTCAGAACACACTTAGGGACAGTGCGTAAGATGATCTGGTCCCCAGGATAGAATTGTTCCTAGAACTGTACAAGGCATTCCATCCTCAGAGGGACTGGCTTAGGGGCCTGAAAGTCAAGACTTCTTAGGACCAAATACAGAGACAAGATAAAGAGCTCGAGTGCAGTGGTTCTCAATCATGGGTACACCAGGAGGGTTGCAGCCCCCCGGATGGGGGAGGGGTCACGGGACAGGTTTAGTGGCAAGCGGGGCAAGTGCCCAGGGCCCTGCAAAGCTAAGTTACATGCTTCAGCCCTGCCACCTGGGGCTCAAGCTTCAGACCAGGCTTACAAGTGACAAACGGGCTCAGGTACAATATTTATATTCCAGTCAATTTGAGAAAGTCAGCCATTTTTCAGTACTGGTGTGCCGTGACACTCATCTTTTTAGGTCTGATTTTTGTAAGCAAGTAGTTTTTAAGTGACGTGAACTAGGGGTACACAAGACAAATCAGACTCCTGAAAGGGCTTCAGTAATCTGGAAAGGTTGAGAACCACTGCTCTAGTGGACTAAGTCTGAAGCTCAGAGTCAAGAAGGCCTGGGTGATTCATCCCAGCTCTGCTGTTAATTCACCGATCTTGAATTTTGAAAGTACAAGCAATGCAATTTCCCCGATACAAGACCAGTATCAAGGCACTACTGTGGAGCATATGTAATCTAGAAGACAAAACCCACATGGCGAGATCTATAGGAAGGATTCTTGCCTTTCTTGCCTTCAGTTCACATACAGTATTTTCACTAGCCCGCAAGTAGTACTTCTTCCAGTCCCTGTTTCCTGCAGCACAGAATGAATGAAAATGAAGTGGTCACTGAATGCGTACAGTACCGCAGATACTGCTAGCATCACTTGAGAAGCAGGGTTAAAGCCCTGGCTGTGAACTTTTAAGACGTCTTTGCATCAGCTCAGACAGAATAAACTACAGGCCAGAATCCAGGAAGTGCCCTCCCACTTTCAGCTGCCATGAAGCCTGAGTGGGATTTAGTCAATTCTAGAGCTCTGTGGTTTCCATTTGGCAGTGGGCTCATGGAGTGTGGTTACCCAGCCAATTTATTGCTGGATTTACAGTGGCAATTAATGGTTAAAATTATGGCAGAGCCACTTGTTTTTAGTCTGGGCAAGGTTATAAATGTTGTATCTGCATATCCTCTTTCATAGATTGTGCTAACCTGAACAAAACCAGAGCAAATTTAGCTATTTGGCATAAGGATAGGAAATCAGAGGGGTATAGATTCATGTTGTGTACACGCACACAGCGCCCAATGCCTGCAGTTAACCACCACCAACACTTAGTACCTATGGTATCTTTCATATGAAGATTTCAAATTACTTCATGAAGTGGATCATTTTTATTATCCCCATCTCAGCGATGGGGAAAATGGAGACTGAAAATCAAGCGACTTGCCCAAGGTCACAGCAGTATAGCAATAGCATACTTGGTTCAGAAGAAAAATCTCAGAGCTCTGAAGCAGCCACACTTCTGACATCAGAGTGTAAATCTTTTATAGATGCAGAGACCACTTTTCTTACTAGGAAAACAGGGAAGAGGGCAAGACCTTGATTGTGGAGATGGAGTATTTCCACCAGGAAGGCTTGGCTTGTTCTTATTATGAGGAGGTTTGGCTGTTGCAGGAGTCTTTATGGTATAATTTTGCTTTTTAAAAAGCAATAAAAGGTGCCCATAGTCTGCAACAGGTGACTTTTTATTCTTACTAATGGAAAAAAATAAAACTCCAACTAGCCCACCTTGGTCAAAAAAAGGTCAACTCATCCCAAGGCCTAGAATGAAGTAGGGATCAAAAAGAGAAACATTTATCCTTAGGTGTTGGGATTGTGACGGAAGTAAATTAGTCTTCTCTTCCCTTTGCTCCATCTTCAGCTCCTCCTCAGTTAAAACTGCTATATAATTATTAAGCGTTCCTAGAAACCAAATCTTTGTGTATTAGGAAAGGATCAGTGCATGGCACTTGACACAAACTGAGATACTGAGTTTTTTCTTATCAGATCTAGACACAGTAAAGTGACTACATACTATGGTCTGCAGAGACCAGACTTTGAGAGGACATTGGGATGGGAGTATTTCTTTGTGGAAGATGTGCCTTTTCCTCAGAGCCGTTTGCAGTATCTGGCATAGTTACAGAAGAGGAACAATCTGAGTGGCACCTCATACCTTACCTGTAGAAAGAGTGGGTATGCCTACACTACAAATTAAAACCTGCGAGAGTCCAGGTCAATTGGTTCAGGAGGCTCAGGCTGCAGAGCTAAAAATAGCAGTGTAAGCATTTGCACTCAGGCTAGATCCTGGCCTCTGAAACCCAGGCCCCTCACCTGCTCTCAGAGCCTGGGGGCTCCAGCTCAAGCAGGACAGTCTACAGTGATATTTTTAGCCCTGCAGCTCCAGCCTGAGCCAACGGAGCTGGGCTCTGAGACTCAGTACCGCAGGTTTTTCTTAGCAGCATGGACATACCCACTGACAGAACTGTTGCAAGGAACACCACCCTTTGACCGCACAACTGAGGGAGCTTACGGCGCGGATACTAAGGGGTTAAAGTTAAGCATTATGTAGTCAAGAGTGATTGTAAAGTGGTTGCGGACAGAAAGCCAGAGTGGGAAAGGCAGCAGGCAGTTGTCGTAGGAGGCTCAGATAAAGTTTTAATTAACTGGCAAGTGTTACAGTGCTTAGAAATTTGGTGTAGTTAGAAAACAGAGGCCTTTACAAGTGACAGAAGAAAGTTATTACATATTGGGGAAGAGTTACAAGCTACAGAATAATCTGTTGGTCATGTCCATTGATATAAAGAACACAAATGCACCCATCCAGTAACAAGATCTCTCAAATGGGGATTTGATACCCTCAGAGTCTGAAAGGACTTACCAAGAGGTTTGAGAGAGAGAGAGAGAGAGAGAGAACACACTTACATGCAGATTTCTCTGTTAGAGTTCATTCCCATCCAACATTGCTAAACCATTCTTGCCAGGGCTGGCTTTTATCTTTTGAACTGAAAGAGGCTTCTGAAGAGTCATGTTCTTTTTAGTAGTCTCTCATGCAATCTGGTACTGTTCTAACTAGGAGGACTGGATTGTGGCATTTTATTTTTTTTTTTAATTGC